GTTGACGAGGAGCTCTCATACAGGCCCTCGGTCGTACATCGCCCTCTCATCTTTATTTGATGACGAGGAGCTCTCATACAAGCCCCTCGGTCGAACATCGCTCCGTCATCTTTATTTGATGATGAGGAGCTCTCATACAGGCCCTCGGTCATGCATCGCTCTCTCATCTTTATTTGATGACGATGAACTCTCATAACAGGCCCCTCAGCCACACATCGCTCCGTCATCTTTATTTGATGATGAGGAGCTCTCATACAGGCCCCTCGATCGTACATCGCTCTGTTATCTTTATTTGATGACGAGGAGCTCTCACACATACCCCTCGACCGTCCATCGCCCCGTCATCTTTATTTGCAAACAGGGAAGCAAAGCTCAACGGCCTTGGATCATATGCTCCACCCTTGGCCAAGATAAGAAAATAACACCCCAACGTCCACAAGCGTGCGATCCATCAGCTAAAGTCAAAAGCACAAAGGCAGGACATTCACCATCCACAAAACCAAGGGCGCACAACGTCCTCTGGTCCATGACCCCCATCGTCCTCAAAGCCATACACGCCAAACTACGAATGATTTCACCTCGGTCTGGGGTACCAAAAGCAATCATGATGCCTCCTCGGCCAGAAGCACAAAAGGCACCCAACGACGACCAAAGAGATGTCATGTCATCCTCTTGACTGAGACCGCACATCGTTCTCGAAATGAAGGACATTCTCCGTCCGCAGAATCGAGGTACACACGACGGCTCAATTATGGTACCGCCTCGGCCAGGAACACTAGAACTCCCAAGTAATCCTCCGTCGGACAAAAGCATCAAAACAACATGAATCTACTCCCTTTCACTTCGTCTCCATCTCAGGTCAGATAGTGGGGGACTCCTGATGGAGTATATGGGTCCAGACCCCATGACCCACATACTCAGAAGACTAAGAGGAGGCACACATGTCACCCGTGGGTCCTCCGTCGGCCTGATGGTCCTCCATCGGCCAGAAAGACATCAACTCAGAATATGGGCGTGTAACACCCTGGCCCCGTAGGCCCTGAAGTAGTTACTTCTGACCTCTAGTACTGTCCTCACAAACCGCCACTAGCCTTTTCCGCTCACTTTGTCCTCACTCGTGCGCGCCCTGAGAAACTTCCCAAGGGGTCACCCATCCCAAGACTACTCCCGTGCAAGCACGTTTAACTCTGGAGTTATTGGCTAATGAGCTCCCTTAAAAGGAGATGCACCTTGTTGGTATGAGTAGTACTATTAATCCTCTTAAATTAATCTCGGGTATTACAATCACCCCCACCTAGGATCGCAACGTCCTCATTGCGCCCATAAACCAATCTCAATTCTCAATCAAATCCCAAAATCTTCCACCGCTAAGTGCCCACCCGATATCCAACGGGTCAGCACACCATCGCAGGGTTGCTCTGATACCACCTGTAACACCTGGCCCCGTAGGCCCTGAGGTAGTTACTTCTGACCTCTAGTACTGTCCTCACAAACCGCCACGAGCTTTTTCCGCACACTTTGTCCTCACTCGTGCGCGCCCTGAGAAACTTCCCAGGGGGCACCCATCCCAAGACTACTCTCGTGCAAACACGCTTAACTTTGGAGTTCTTGGCTAATGAGCTCCCTTAAAAGGAGATGCACCTTGTTGATATGAGTAATACTATTAATCCTCTTAAATTAATCTCGGGTATTACAGGCCAGGTCTCCGTCGGCCATGTCTCTGTCGGCCAGACCCTCGTCGGCCACATAGAGCTCACAGAGCTATACTTCCATACTTAGCTAATATATTCGAATGTACCGAGCCCAATAGAGGCCTTATATTGTAATGGGCCTCCAAGCCCAAGACTTGGGAGCCCAACCCACTTTTATCCTATAATTACTCCCTATGGGAGCCATGTAAAGAATTGGAAATTCAGTAATACACATCACTTCTCTTTCTAGCTCTCACTTCTCTCTAAAGAGTTAATACTCTCTATCAGTCTCGTATGTGGAGCAATTAGTTATATGTTACTCCTTATGTTCCCTAAATCTTTGTTATTTTTTCTTTTTGACTGCTTTCTCAGAACGTTTGTCACTTTTCTTTTTAATCAATTAATCTGCGGTTTCTATTATTTCAATCAAACAATTTTACTGTATTATTTTTCATGTCGATCAAACTTGACAAAATTATAAGGAACAAATGGAGTATTTACTATTCGAAAGAGTTAAGTTAAATAATTTAAGTATTTGCTATCTAAAATACTCTCAAAATTAATTCGAGTAAAATAACCTAACAAATTGATTAATTTAGCTTTATGGAAGAGTCCAAAACCAATTCCAATTGATTAAGTCTAATAAACGAACATCTACCAGCTATAAAACAGTTCTACGATAAATGATAGAGATTGTTTCTCTCTATCGAATGAATAGTTAATTAATTAATTAATTAATTAATTAAAAAGTGATGTTAAATTATACTTCGTAAAAAATAAAAAACATAATAAAAAACTCAAAAAATAAAAATAAAGTTCACCGCCGCCTCTGTACCACGACCTCCAGTCACCAGGGGGAAAATGCCAAGTTCAATACGAATGCCATATTTATGGCAGAAAAAATTGAAAATGTTGGCATTCTCAAAGAGAAATATGCCATGTTTTTGGCATTTTCAGAGAAAAAAGTGACAGTTTTTAGGGAAAATGGCATTTTTTCACCGGCCGGAGATGGTGGTGCAGGGAGGTAGTCGAGGCGGTGAGAAAGTCATCCATTTTTTTTTAATTTTTTTAATGGAGTTTTACTATTTTTTATTAATTTTCAAAAAAAAAAATTATTTTATAAATATTCTATAAATGTTTTAATTATTTTTCTACGATTTTTTGATTTTTTTTCAAATTTATTATGAATTAAAGATATTTAATTAACTCATATTTAAAGGAAGGGTAAGAATAAATGAAAAAATAGATATGTTTCAAATAGGACTAATATGATCCTATTTTGAAAAGAAAAACATAGTAAGTTTTATTTTGAGTTTTTGTCATAATTTTAGTCCTATTTGGAATAATTTCCATATATAAAACAATAAATAGGGAGAGTAAGATTATATTTTCTATTAGTGAAGGGGTGATTATGTATGAAAATATATTTTTAATAGTGAAAGGGCTGTGTGGGATAATTTTAGGGCTGGGTCCGAAAAACTGAAAACCGAAAACCGAATCAAATTATACCGAACCATGACCAAATATAACCGAACCGCTAAAAACCGAAACCGAATGTAAAAAACTGATTCGAACCGTAATAGTTTGGTTCAGTTTTGGTTTTACCCTTCAAAACGAAACCGAACCGAACAAACCGAACAAAAATAAAATATGAAATTTTATTTGTTGAATGTAAGAATTAATCTTGATATCATCAATAATCTTTGAATTTCTTGTGCTAGAGAAATAATGTTTGTGCTATGTTTAGTTTAGTTTAGTTTATAAATGCATTTACACATTCACTGCCCATAATAATACATCTATATTATTGATCTATTATGTCTTTCATGTATGTATGTTGTAATTTGTTGCGTGATTATATGTTTTACTGGTTAATTAGTGGTAATTAATTTTTATTTTTATGTAACTTAACTTTTCTTTTTGTAACTTAAAATTTTCATATTGATAAACCAAATAAATATTCATCTGAGTTATATCACATAGGACGTATGTAATTCATAAACTTTTTTCAAACTAGTCACAAACAAGGTAAATTAAGAATAGATACACACTTTTATCTCTCCCGCATACTCATATAATTCAAGACAGTTTTGTTTATTATTATTTTCTTTATTTTTTCAAATATGCTTGCATTTTTATGTAATATGTTTGATCCCTCCAACTTTTATATCAATTTTAAATCAAATGATTATTTTTTAGTAAAAAACCGAAAAACCGAAACCGAACCGAAATAAACCGAATCAATCAAACCGTGGTTCCAAGTTTTGGAGTGTAAAACCGAACCGAAACCGAACCGAACTTTTACTTTGGTTTTGTATTTGGTTTTAGGTAGGGCTGCACATCGGGCGGGTTGGGTCGGGTTTGCTATATTTTTTGGGCCTACCCTATTTGTTCGGGTTGGCTATTATTCAACCCGCAGTACGCAAAATAAGTTGGTAAACCATGCATGAACGGGTCGGGTAAGGTCGGGTATTGAAAAAAATTACTTCGGGTTGCATCTTTATGTGGGAGATTAATGTAACATATTTAAAACTCGATTAACATGTTTTCAAAACACACAAACAAATAAAAGTACTCGTATCTTTTATAAACAAAAACATTAGATAATAGTGTTAAAACATCCTTCCGTAAAGGAAGATCATTTAGAAGGAAACATAAATATATAATAATCACCTAGTCAAAATGGTAAATGTTTAATTATAATTCTAATATCATAAAGTCCTAGATAGAGCACATTGGTCTTAAATTGAAATTATCCAAGAAAACATTGTAGCATAATAATTGTAAAATGAACTTCGGCCGGGTCGGGTACTATCGGGTTGGAGATTTTAATTCTGCAACCCTACCCATTAGGTGCGGGTTCAATCATATTTAACCCATGAATAATTTTAAAAATCAAATACCCGATTAAATAGGGTCGGGTAGGGTTGGGTCGGGCGGGTTATCCGGATTCGAGTTATTCTTGTTCAACCATAGTTTTAGGTCAAAACCGAACCGAAAGAACCGAACCACGTAATTTGTTAACACTTACCCGGGCTACATCTAAAAAAGGGCAATAGCACTAGATTTCCTTGACCCACCTGCCCCGGGCCACAACGACAAACCAAGGCCAAGCGATAGAAACAAACAACTCATGGAGTTTCGAGAGACACCTCACTACTCCTTCCTTGCTGCTCTACTTCATCCATCCGCCAGCAATACCATAATCAGTCCAGAAAAACTCTCCAGATCACCATGCCCAAGAAGCGAAAAGATGCCAAGAAAAAGAAGGGATCGAAAGTTAAGGGGGCCTCCTCCCACATGCCCAGCGCCGCAAATGAACCCAAAAATACTGGTATATGTTTGCTTATAACTACAAAGACTTGTCTTTTATGATTCTTCATCATCCCATTTCCATCTGGCTTTCAATGATTCTCTTATCGTGAAAGCACCCTTTACAGCTGATGTTCTGTCTCCCACTCTGCTTCTGTGGACTGTGGGTATATCTTTACATTGTGTGACTTGTGTCCTCTTCACACCTTCCACTCTCTGAGTCTCTGGTAACTATTTTTATGTTTTTTATAAGCATTTACACCACTGTGGTTTGCTGGAAAGTAGCTGTTCATGGTGTTTGTAATTATAAAATCCAGGATTGTTTGGGTCACTCAACTAGGGACTTGACCCAAATCACATTGTTAAGTCAAGTCCAATGTCTCATTAATTAATCATTTTCTCTTTACTTATGTGATGTGGGACTAACATTTTCTGTCAATCAATTCTGTATGTAATGGCTATGTGCTATATTAAGAAAACTGGGTGTGTTTCTTTTACTTGAATTGTTCTTGATGAATAAAACTATGGCAGGGGAAGAGGATTTGGGGAATGATCACAATGAAACAGATAGTGATGGAGGGGAGGGTTGTTCCCGTGCATCTCAAGAAGGTACTATCATGGAGGTAGAAGAAGATAGTAGTTTATTGGTTGTGCAATCCAGTGAGGTGTTGCCAATTAAAGGCGATAAGCAATTGGAAGAGGAAGTTGCTGTTCAAGTTGAAATCCCATTGAAGAGCTCAAGGAGTAGTAGCGGTTCTAGTTGTGATGAAGCTGATGATGATGATGATGGTTGTGCCAACAAAAACAAAAGCATAGTAGCTAGTAATCCTCCTGGTGTTGGTTTGGTTAAAGAAGTTGGTTTAGTTGAACATTGTGATTCCGATGTAGGGACTGTGATGACCATTGAAACTGAGCTTATAAATAGTGTTGAAGAAATGAAGAAGAAGTTGCGTGTAGATAATGATGATGCCGTTCAAGTTGAAAGCTCATTGAAGAGCTCAAAGAGTAGTAGCAGTTGTGATGATGATGATGATGAAGTCAACAACAACAAAAGCATAGTAGCTAATTATCCTCCTGGCGTTGGGTTGGTTAAAGAAGTTGGCTTAGTTGATGATTGTGATTCCGATGTGGGGGTTGCGATAACCATTGAATCTGAGCTCATTAATAATGTTGAAGAAACGAAGAACTTGTGTGTAGATATTGATGATGGTGTTTCTATGTCGGAAGTTATGGCGGAGATAGGATCACCAATAAATGAGGGGATTGAAGAAGCTGTCAAAGATTCTGATGTGGCGGCTGTGATAACCATTGAATCTGAGCTTATTAATAATGTTGAAGAAATGAAGAAGAACTTGTGTGTAGATAATGATGATGGTGCTTCTATGTCGGAAGTTGTGGCGGAGATGGGATCACCAATTAAGGAGGGGATTGAAGAAGCTGTCAAAGATTCTGCAACTCAAGAAAATGGAGTGCAACCAATTCCACCACCATCACCACCACATGATCATATTTCCAGCATTTTAAGTAATGAGGCTGATCCGGTCAAAAAGTCTGATGTTCTTCCCTTCTCTGATACTCAGGTCCTTAAATTTTCACTTTCAGGCTCCTTTTGTTTACAGGACAGTACTCCTTTCTTCTAAAAAAGAAATTCCCTCTTTGACTTTTAGAGTTTATGTTTGTTAACTATGATAGTTAATTATTCAAAAACTATATTTAGTTTAAAGGATGAAAATACTTCCGAACCATTTTTAAACATATACACTTCGTTATTTTTTTAATAACCTATGCTAGGTTTTATAAGTATAGATATGTAAATAGTAGTGGTCAAACATTACCTGAAGAGCGTGAAAGTCAAACAGGGACTTCAGTTTGGGACGGGTGAAATATATATTTACTGGTCGTTTAATAGCCACTTATTTCAGCTTATCAGGCAAAATAATTGATGAAGTGTAACTTGTTTTACTACCCAAGCTGAATGAATTAATAATTAACGAAAAGTTGGGTTTGATGTACTTTTTTAACTCAAGATACCTACAATAATCATTGTAGCTTTTTTATTTAAACCCACTTTTCTATATTATATAAAACAAAACATCTTAAAGATATTGTTTTCATAATTCAGCAATTTCATCAATCTCAAGAATTTCATTATTTCAACAAACGGAGTGATGTACCAAAAAATCTATCAGTATCTGATTTATCAACTTATTCTTGCAAACTAATGGAAGCCTTCAAAGAGTTTATGATAGAAGTTCATGTTTTAATTCAAACAATTGCAGCTTCTGGCGGCGTGCTCAGGTGTACAACCACGAGAGATAACATCATGGAAGACTTGCTGTGGACTGTTTGAGCTATTCACAGGATCCAATAGATAAGTTCAGGTTGGAGTAATAATCTATGTTCATTGAAACATCTTTTCCATGCTATTCAAAGCTTTAAGGTCAAAAACAAAACTCATATGTAACTGTGTTGATGCATCTTATATTTTGTCGCATACATCATCTAATAAATGAATACGAGTAAATAAATAGGCGGAAAGCTTGGATACAAAGACACTTCGAATTTGAATTTTAAGTTCAAACGGGGGCAAAACTATTGATTTCGTCCTTCCCTGGTTTTACATTTTATAACTTGTATTTTGTCATGAATCATCCGAAATTTCTGTTAATAGAGATTGTGATGACATCTGTGATATTATCATCATCACCTTCATTCATTTTTAGTAATACTTCCTAACACAGTCAAAATGAATAGAGATGAAAGAAAATGATATCATGGAGCTCTATAACGTAGTTCTGTCTCGTCTATTAAAATTCTGGATATTTCTACTATGGGTTGTGGTAAATTATTGAGCCTTGACCGTGTGTTTACTTTCACCAAAATCATATACTCGTACTTGTCTCAGATAGGGATGGACTCGGTTCGGGCCGGGCCCGGTTCGGGCCTTGAACCGGCCGGGCCTCGGTTCAAGGTATGGGAGGCCCGGGTAACCCCCGGGTCCGGGCCGGGCCGGGCCTCGGTTATTTATTTTTTTGGGCTTTTCCTAGTTAACCCCCAACCCTCCCCCTCACCCCCAAACCAACGCTAACCACCTCAAATGGCCCAAAATACCCAGCCCAACCCAAAAACTTAAACAAAATTCAAAAAAAAAAAAAATGGCCCGGCCCGGTCCCCCCGGGCCGGTTCACCTTTTGAAGGGCCCGAGCCCGAACCGAGATCCCACCGGGCCGGGTGGCCCGAACCGGCCAACCAACCGGTTCACCGGGCCGGTTGGCCCGGCCCGAGTCCACCCCTAGTCTTAGAGATCTTTCTCCAATTGTATTACACACTTCTGCTTGCTTTTTGGACAAACGATGCTAATACTGAACTATGGTAAATCTTTGTGATGCAGGTGGAGTGGAGTCGTGAAGAGCGATGATCATGTATGCTTTACTTACATTTACCAGCCAAAATAAGATAGCAGGAGAGAGATGATTATACAAACTTTTTTTTACATAAAATGCAACCATCTTGGAGGCTTTCCTAATTTGAAAATGCAACATCGAACTAGTCTCTTCTTCTGTGTTGGTTTTCTTGCTTTTCTGCATTTGTTTTCATCATCTCCAAGAATAGTTCATTGATCATGAATGTTGTAAAAAAAATACAGGCAAGACTGGTTCTTTGATTATTAAATTTGGATTATTTTCAATGCACCCTTCGTTACAAAAATAATCACTTAAAGCCCTCTAATTTAAGATCGTGCATTCAAAATGGAATCAGTCTTGCATCTAGTAAGATTACCTTTTATACAGTCTTTTTGAAAAGATTATACATAGTTGGAGACTTGAAGTTTTTCTTACTGGTGGAGACTTGGAGTTATTAACATCATGTGAATACTGAATATGAACAATAGAAAACTGAACCACTTATCTGAGGTATATGATGATCTCTGTTACCTTACTCCCTTTCGTGCTGTGAAGGTAGTTAGTTCTTTATTTGTAATATGTGATAGTTATCGTAAATTTCGAGTAATATCTTAATGATTGGGGCTATTAACGAACTGAGTCAATTTCGAAACATCACGAGTGCAAGTTTAGCCTGATTCGGTAACAAGGGTGCCCGGGTTAGATTTCAAAGCTTGATAAGCTTTATACATGAGCTCGGGTTCCATTTGAGCGATTGATATTTGATTCAAGTACTTTTATAATCATGTTCAGATTTAGAAAATTATCCTTCGTACTAAAGAAGTTTGAACTTTAATGTATATGCATAGTATAGTATAATTTATCTGTGTTTGATAGGCTTGAGCACAAATCGAACACTACTATGGATGTCCGTTGGAGGGAGGGAGTGAGTGACAATTGGAAAATGTGAATAGATTTAGAGTTTTGAAATTATTTAATCACTTTTGAGAAAAATCACTCATAATTTGTCATCACAAGCTTTGTGTCATATTTAGGCCTTTTTTAACCTAATTCTCCAAAGCTTTCTTCATAATGCGTGAACTTATTTTGATGTAATGGTTATATCATTGTAAAATAGGTTACAAGTTACAAGTTTCAGCACTTGATAAATGTCTCAACTTAAATCATTGTAAAATAGGTTATTAAATAGTTACACAGATGAGTAAAGTTTCAGGGTAAATTAGACATTAGAAACATAAGATTAAAAAAGGTGAGAACTCCAGTACTCATTTAAAAAAATAAGGTATCACACGTACCATTCACTTGATTGGTCTAACACTCTAACATGTATATCATTTTTAATTTAGACTTAAACAATTAAACTGCAACATTGTGATTGGTCCATGTGGATAAATGTACGATACTTTATGGGTATCATAAAATCTAACATTAAAAAAAGCTGTTTGATATCAAAAGACTAAATAAAAATGTCCTTACCCAACTCTCAAAACATGTGTGTGATTAATTTGATTTGAAACATTTTTCTGACAAGAAACACCCTGTATATAATGGAAATTAAATAGTTATTTTTCTCGGGACATATAAACACACAATATATATGCTTTTATTTTTCACAAACTATAACCGGATCACCGAATGACATAAGTCTAATGAACTAAGCAATGAAATATTAATGGAAAAAATAATGTTCACAAAATAAAATAAATCACTCCATATATATTCGTAAATCTGATTATTCATTTCTTGAGATAAATGGCCAATATGTATGCGAGCTGAGTAACCGTCAGCATGATCGTGAATGCTTCCATAGTTTTCTGCAAATTCACAACAATAAAAAGAAATTATTGCCAGCATTTTTGGGTTATTCGACACGTATATTATGGATTTATTTAATATAATAAAAGAAAAATTAAACACTCAGATCACCAGCTTGGAATTCCTGATGTTAAGCCGAATCTCTTTCCAAGCAAACCTGTACGTAAAACATGCATAAATTAATTGTTTTGACATGGATGGGAGTTTAAATTAATTGCTACAGAGTACAAACTTTTTCTACATATTTGATACAAACGTTTGTGAAGACTATTAAAATAACCTGTTCGCAAGAGACATGTTTTGGACAATAATTGGGCTCATTCTTTTTCAAATTCGATATTGAAAAATGTTGAAGACACTGCATTTATTTTAATCCCAACATGTTGAATTTTACACTATTCACATGCTCTACTTTGACTACATTTTACGCTATTATTTTATGATTTTTTTTTAAAAAATATTGTCCGATTCCTCTCATTACAAATTTTCAAAATCTGATTTTTAATATTTTTTACTAATGGAATTAAGATAAAATTACGATCAAAGACGTGCGTTGGCAAATGTGAAATGTTGACCGTTGCAACTAAAAAAGAACGGAGGGAGTAAGTGTGAACAAATAATTTTTGAGAACACAAAAGGTTTGAAAGGAAAGAAAATATTCGAACAAATTGTGCTCATTCTTTATTTGCTCGATTGTGCTCATTCTTTTTTTCAAATTCGATCATTTGTTTGAATTTATGATATAAACACCTAGATTGACCATTTATAAAATTTCATTTTGTTTTCCATTTCTTCAAGTATCACGAACCATAAAAATAGTTATCCTTGCCATTTTTCTCCAAACAAACTCAAATGAAAGCAACATTAAATTTTTGTTGTTGATGTTGACCAGTGAAATAGTAAACCACGTACACTGAAGTCCAATAATATTGTGATTTTAAGGGCATATTTATTTGACTTTTAGTCAAGATATTGAGTTTTGAACATCATTGAAAGACTATGTAGCACGGAAACATTCAGGAAAGCGTACGCTCGTTTCGAAAACTCTTCAAACAAGCCTTTTTGAACAAAAGTTAACGTTTCCCGTTTCCGTTTTCTCATGACTTTTGCGTTTCCGTGCAACATAGTTTAAAGGTCAAATGTGGTCTATTTATGTTAATGGTAGGAATGGGGTTGCAATGTTGTACTAAAAAAATCCCTTACCCCATGGCAAGGGCAGTAAGAGTCCAAGCAATAGTAGCAGCAGAAGCAGCACCAGCCTGAGTCTCGGAGTTCCCACCGAGGATATGGGATATTCCGGCGATGGCGGATGCAACTCCAACTACGCCTGCGATCATGGAAAACGTGACGAAGAATCCGGTGGCAGCATTTCCAAACGGAAAGCTTATCGGCGAGAAACGCGCTGGAAGTTTACGTCCTTGACCTGCATATATGCACGCATGTCATTCAAAAACTAAACCGAAACACCACAAGCTAAAGATGTTTATCTAAAAAACACTCATCTATATATCATAATTGGAGCCATGAAAAAATTCCCAAACAAGATTAACTATGTAGTTGTTTACAATTTACAAAAGAGAACCTATATCTAGTTCTACTAAAAGAATAAAAAATTGAAAATTACTTATTTAGGAGTAAATAAGTCATACTTTAATTTTCTTTTGAAAAAAAAACAACGATGAGTCGATGACTCTACCTAAGAAAGTGTATTAGATCCCTCTATTCTTTCTTACTCAGCTCGTCACATACATCCGGTGCTTACTTGTCACGTACACTAGGTACGTACTTCAGGAAATTAAGAAAAGTAGTACGGAGTAGAGAGTTCTTATACCATGAGAGTAGCCCATCCTGAACATGCCGCTCCCACACAAAAAACTCTTTTTTACTGTTCACGCGGGTGAACAGTAACTTTTTTTTTTCATTGTCCAGTAGCAGATTGATATAACTCGCGTGTAAAAAAATGTAACTCACGCTGATAAGAAATGTAATTGCAAGCAAGTCGAAATATAACTTGTCTAATATGAATGATAAGAAATAAAATATTTATCTCAATGAAAACAATGAGTCTAATTACTCAATTACTTTACGTAAATAATGGATATGTTGTGTTTTTAATATTAATGCCATAAATATTTTTTTCTTTAAAAGCTTTTTGTTTTCAAAAAAAAAAAAAGAATCATACTCCCTCCGTCGCTTAAAACTTTGTCATCTTTCCTTTTTGGGATGTCCCAAAAAACTTTGTCACTTTCCCTTTTAATCAATATTTTATGGTTTCTGTTATTTCTCTCTTCCGCACAAACCTCAACCACACAGTTTTTACTTTATTATTCTCCGTGCCGGTCAACTTTGGCAAAGTTTTAAGGGACGGAGGTAGTATTTTTTTTTTTTTGAAAAAAAAATGACTTTTTTGTTTCAATACCAGGAGTTTACGTAAACAATTAATATGTTCTGTTTTCACTATTAAGGCCATAAAGAAAATTTTAAAAATCATTTTTTATCAAAGAAATCATTTTTTGCCAAAAAAAGTCTTTCTTTGCAAAAAAATTGATTGTTTTGTTTCAATACCAGGACTTTATGCTATGATGTTACTCGTGTTATAGAAAAGGTAACTCGTGTTGATAAAGAATATAACTTAGGTGTATGCAAAATGTAATTTGTTCAGACAAGTCCAAATGTAACTCTCGCATAGGAAGATGCAACTCACACATAATAAGACGTAACTCGCGAATAAGAAGATACATGGTTAGTGAGTACATAAGTGAGATCGGTACACCATGCATACGATGCAACGATCCCACGGTATAATTTGCCCGGAGCAGAAGATAATAATTACTCCGATATCCGTATGATAAAAAAATGTACGAACTAGAAAGAGTACGTAGAAAAAATATGAAAACAAGAAAAAATTGGACTACGTATAGAAAAAATATGAAAACAAGAAAAATGTACGAACTAGAAAAAGTACTTTGACTACTTTCGCATATGAAAAAGAAAGAAAAATTATGAAAACTTAGGTACAAATTTTCAAATATGAAAATGAGACAAATAACACAAAACTTCCCGAAATGAGACGCGCACACACATATACTCTTTTTTTATAAATGACAATCAACTTTGATCATTGTTATTTTATGAATATGAAAATTATATCAAGATGTTTCTTATCCAAACTATTTTCATAAAAGTATAAAATTTATAATTATTTACAAAATATAATAATTAAAATCATTGTCCAAAGTTTGTCATCATTGATCAAGAAAAGTCAATATGACAAACCTTTTTGGTAAGGAGATGGTATATATATATATATATATATATATATATATATATATATATATATATATATATATATATATATATATATATATATATATATATATATATATCGATGAACGATATATATGTCTCCTTATTTGAAAGATCTTGTATATTTTTGGTAAATTATTTTCTATAGTGTCAACCCGGATGCCTAGATGTAGATATTGTGGTATGCATTATTGCAAAAAGTTGCCAAAAAGTATAAATCATGAAAAAAGAGAGAAAAAATGTGAATAATTTATTTTTCGGTGTTCATCTCTCTCATGTAACATGTATACCGTGTACATTATCACGATACTCCTAGCCTTTTCATGATAAATATTGTAAAGCGAGAAATCTAAATAGAAATAGTTACCAATTATGAAGCCTTCATCAATGGCTCTATTCATAGCCCATCCGCCGATGGACAAGAGCACAACATACATGCAGAAATTCAGCACCAAAAGTAAAGAGGCGACCGGCCCACGCTGCATCCCACCAATATTTGCCATTATATTCCCGCAGTTATCCTTCAATTAATATTCGTAGTTAATATGGTATATATATTTCCTAAGTTAATGATGAAACTCAAGAAACTATTAGGGGCTAATTAATTGTGAGCAGATTGTGGAATTTGTGGGCAGATATTTAAAGTCCATTTGTTCTTTTCTTGATTGCAAGGGTAAGATAGCTGTTAGCTAGGGCTTTGCGGCTATGGAAAGATTGGATAATAATTGCTTCATTATCAAGGCAATTAAGCTTAGGGTTCCTTTATTCCTCTGCTAACATTTTAAACCTTAGTTTGCTTTTAGGTTGGATCTCTCTGAATTAAGTGAAAATAACATTCTTTGATTGAGCCTTTTCTTTTCATTTGCTTTAAGGTTGGACCGCCACATCACACACTACATAAATTGCCACATCAGCTAGATTAGTCACAGCAATTATAGTTATATATAGTGTTATTGGTTATATTAATTCAATTGTTTTGAGGGAAAATATTAGTTCAACATTAGTTAGCTAAATTGTAGATATATAGCCGATGCATGTAATGAACTCATATAGATAATGAATTGAATGAATATTTTACTTTCTCCTTTTCTCCCTCTTAAAATCTATTATGGTATATATAAGAGCATGCATAAATACATAAATAAGAGAGTATTGGTTTAAAATACATAAATAACCCTAGTCTATTAGTACCATGCTTCTAGAGAACGATTTACGTTAAGGTTATGTTGTGCAGAAGTCCAGGACATTTTTATTCTTTCAAAATTTTAGTGTAAGGTTTTATTTAATATTTTTCATAAATAGTTCATCCGTTAATGTTTAAGCCTAGTATAATTACTTTGTTTAATTAGTCTAGTACATAATCCCCGCATGGTTAGAGGGAAAAAATATACGGAGTATTTGTTTGCTTTTAGGATGTTTTTACTTGGACTGTAATTCCTCTCAGACCAGACCAGACCAGATCAGACTAGACCAGACCAGACCAGACTTGGATAGTTATAAAAATACAAAGAAACCAGACCAGACCAGATCAGACCAGACCAGACAAGACCAACAAATTACAGTCCAAGTAAAAACATCCTTATTTTAATATTCAAATACAAGCCGAATGTCCGGAGGTAAAGTAGCAAGACGAACGTACGGTTAATGTATTTAAAACAAGCCGAATGTCCAAGTAAAAACATCTTTATTTTAATATTCAAAACAAGCAGAATGTCCGGAGGTAAAGTAGCAAGACGAACGTACGGTTAATGTATTTAAACAGTTTAAATGCTTGTTTCTTTAGCTATTTGACTAATTTTAGATATGATGAATTATGTTTGACTATTTTCAATATGTTTAGTTATTTTTATCCATGTTTGACCAAATTTGACTATGTCGATCACTTTTGACTATGTTTGACTTATGTAGACTTTGATAATTATGCATAGCTATTTATGATTTTTTAATGTGTTTTGTGTTCTATGACTATGAGTGAACCTAGCTACATTAATTGATCTCACTATGTTCTGTTTAGTACGCAATGCTTCAACATTATTAATACATTTGACATTCTATTTTTAGTACGAAGTGATTTGGCATTAGTACTTTGAAAATTCTATTTGTCGGACGAAGTGCTTCGTCATTAGTACTTCTATCAAATGTTGTTTGTTAGGAGTCGTGCAGCTGCAACGATTACGAGCTCTTTCTGGACATGCTAGCATGTATTTTAGACCATGGTCGGCCTCTGTTTTGGGATAGGTGTGTAGCCCGATGATTACATATCATTATCTTGTGCTTTGAGTCTTGGTCCATTCTCGTGAGTTATTACTGATGAATAAATTAAACATAAAGTGGTACTCCCTCCGTCCCATTTATAGGTTTCCGTCCACTATTCTCTGGTCAGCGTGCATTGTTCTTAATCTTTTACTTTATATATCCAACTTTTATCAAATTTAAATTTCTTGGTTAGACTTTGTCGCGGTTTTAATGCAGTTTCTGAATATGTAAATTTTATTTACTAAAAATAATTCTACTAATGACATGGATCAGTTAACTTTATGGTCAGTCAAACGTCGTAAACTGTGTGAGAACGTTTAAATGGGACGAAGGGAGTACTTGTTATCCGTTCAGTTATGATCTGATGTGCTTTGTTAAGTTACGTTTTGTTAAGCTCAGTTATGATCGGAGTATATGTTTTGTGCGCCACTGAGTTTATGTTGGGCATGTAGAATGTCTATTTTATTCTATACTACGCGTAGGTAATGTGGTTTTATGGACTTTGAGGCGGAGGTTCAAGAGACAAGAAGAGTTGTGACTTACAACCTCACACTCCTTCTTGATCCGATCTGAATTGGTCCGGTATGATAAATGTCTGGTCTCGATGAATTTTACAACTATCAGAGTCTACCTGATTTGATTTGTGAACTAATATGATCTAGTTTGATATGATCTGGTCGGGGACCGATATAAGTCCAAGCAAAAGACTCCGTACTTCGTAGTACTTTACTGTTACCCTTCTCAAAAATCAAAATATTGTTCAATTTGACCGGTTACATAATTAATTTGAGATTTATTTAGAAGAGATAAATATTAAGATCACACCTTACTTTTCGTATACAAAATGAACTCGAATAAAAAAATACCATACATGGACATTAATTGCTTTTTCTCTTCTCACAAATACAATCAAGTAATTGCATTCTTTTGCTGCATTACATATATAGTTCCAATGAACTAAACGATGGAAAATTATGACAATTGAAAAATAAATAAAGAATGTACATTCAAAAGAAATTGTATCAATCACACTGCACACACTTTATTGACATGCCAAATATATATAGTTCAGGATGGCCTGGAGAGAGTGATTCTATCGAGTTCTTGCTGGATCATGGATGACCAGTATGTACAACAACTGAGTAACTGTGAGGATGATGGTGAATGCTTCCATTGTTCTCTGCACATAGATTTGCAATTCATGACAAAAATTTGATTATAATCAATGAGAATAGATCCTGCCGGGCGGTCTGCACGGGGAGTGTTGTGCGGACTTGCCCGTTTGAGGGTCTTTTCGGTGGATATTTCGATGATTTTTTTAGCATGTTCTTCATCAAGTCTAATTTATGTCCACCAAATTTCAGCTAAAAATTCAACCGGGAGGATATTTTTAAATATCTTTTTTACTCTAGCTAGGCTCTTGTGGATGGATGCATCATGCAAGTGTATATAAAGAGATAAAGTTGATGGAACACTCACCAGCCTGGCATTCCTATAGTTTAGCTCAATCTCTTTCCAAGCAAACCTGAAATCACAAGTACACTCTCTCCCTCAATATTTGAAAATTTTCGAGGCGCTAAACAGAAAGGAGCGCATGCGTTGATATATAAGATTCTAGGTTACTTCTCTAAACTTAATCCCGGGGGATAACTAGCCATGGTTGAGATGCGCCCGTATCCTAAACTTGATTTCATTTTATTATGCCTTGAAAATACACATAGTGGTAATCCAAATACTGAAATAGTTATGAATAGGACTAGAGAGAGTTTTAACTGAGCCCAGCCTGATGAGGGAGGATAAGTTGCATTTTTTGAGTATTATAATTTTCAAAAACTTTGCAATTGTTGCGCCTTGTGGTTACGCTGCAGACCGCAACCGCAATATTTTCGGCCACGATCACATTATGGCTTGTTAAATTATAAACAACTTATTTAATGCTCTTACCCCATGGCAAGGGCAGTAAGAGTCCAGGCTATGATGGCAGCCGAAGCAGCACCGGACACACTCTTAGCGTTCCAATGCGCTATATGGTTTATTCCGGCGAGGACCGATGCCACTCCAACAGCTCCGGCGATCAAAGAAAACGTGACGAAAAATCCGGTGGCTGCATTCCCTATGGGAAAGTATATCGGAGTGAAACCTGCTGGGAGCTTAAGGTCCGGACCTGCACATTCAGTTCAAATCAAGCAAATAAATCCTATTTGCTCTAGAGATTTTATCAATTTTTATGCCTTGTTTGATTTTTCTCGGTTCAGGTCTAGCCCTCCCGAGATTTTACATTTTTTGTGTTTGATTGTATTTCGAAAAGGTATGCCTTCCTTTAAGAGGTTTTGGTGTCGTCTCCCTCTCTTTTTGTATCATTTTCCTTAAAATTAATAAAATCTGGTAAACGTTTCCTGGCGTTTACCCCACTGATTTTGGTGATTTACTTTCCGGGTTAAAAAAAAACCTATTTGATCCAAATAATCATGTTTCCCATACTACACTCCACGTCTCCTCCCTCAAAATTAATCAAGACATATAGGAAAAGTAAGATTTTTATGATAGAAACAAAACTACATTAGTCTGTTCCAATCGGTCACCATCTTGAACGATGAAAGTAGAAAAAATACCAATGATAAAGCCGTGATCAATGGCTCTGTTCATAGCCCAGCCACCAATGGACAAGAGGACAACATACATACAGAAATTCAGCCCCAAAAGAAGAGATGCAACTGGTTTGAGCTGACTCCCATCATTATTAGTAGCCATTCTTATATATGCTTTCTTGCCTTGCTTAATTGCTTGAATTGTGTTTTGTTGTGCCAGGTAGAAGGCAGGCTGGGGTTTTTATAAGTTGCCAGTAAGCCAGGACAAGGGTAGGGGGCAGGCATGTTTAAGGTTGTCGTTCACATCAATTCTTTTCTTGTAAGGCTGATTATTGTGAAGGGTTTTGCAGGGTTGTAAAGATAAGAATATTGCTTCATGGTCAGGAAAACTAAAGAAGCTAAGGCATGCTAGCTATTATATGTACTTTATTCTTTCTAGATAGGCTAACTTCTACCTTATACCTTACTTTTTGGCTCCCAAGTACCCAACCCCTCAACTACTAGCATTGAAATGTTCATTCATTTTTGAAAAGGAGATTTCTACTGTACCTCTTAAAATTAAGAGTGTACCGTACCTATTTCATTGCTCAGCCAATACTACTCTGACATACATAATATTAAAACATGAACACAAAAGTTGGGCAATTTTTCATTGGTCCACATAATGATTGTCATAACTGGTCATAATATAATCGTATGCCTGTATTTAGTACAAGACTATTGTTTTTTTGTTCTTATGTAATATTTTCAGCCAATGGCGTAATCAAGAAGGAAATGTGTTTGGGAAAAACATCTGTATGAATTTTAATAAATTTCCACACAATTCTTTTTACATTTAGAGCATGTTTGGCAACACCAAAATTTATAAAATTTATGAAGTTTTTGCTCAAATGGCCGATTCTGCTGAACTATCAAAGAATTATATTTAAAATATATTTTATTACTACCTCGGTCCCAGTTTAGTTAGCCATTTTTTACTTTTCCAGTCAAAGATGGTAAACTTTGACCAATTATTTTAACTAAGATATTTATGTAAGATTTAATAATTTGAGTTAATGACTCAAATAGGACTAATAGCAAAGTTAATTGCACATATAAGACTGTCAACGAAAGACAACTTTCATAGGACCAATTTCAACATAGTTGGACAAAAGTAACCCTGCTTTAATTTTTTTGATTTTAAAAATGAAAAATAAAAGTTGTTGAAACCCTAAATTGTCAAGTGCTAGTAGTGGCATGCCAGAGCCGGAGCCGCCCGCCGCCGCCGACTACTTTATTAATTTTATACTTTTATGATAGTATTTTTAGCAAATAACATTTTTATGTTATTTTTATATTATCAATACTTCTATATATAAATATATAATCGGTCAAAGTTAGATATCATTGACTTGAAAAATCAAGTTTGGCTAACTAAAATGGGACAAAGGGGTATTAAATAAAGAAAAAAATTATGAAAAAAGTAGTTAAAGTGATTCTCTATCGATAATCCAACCAGAAAAGCATCTCCAATCTTACTTATTTTGATTATTACACAACTCAGCACGTGAAATAAAAAAATACGCATTTAGTAAAAAAAGTAACTAATAAAGCTGATAAACCAAAAAACAGAGTCATCAAACGAGAGATTTCTCATAATCAAGATTTATGTCAAATTTGGAGTAGTCACAAATTGGCCCCCATGGCTCACACTCATATTTCCGGCTAAATGATGGACAAGAAACAATAGTTGTGCATGTACTACTAGTGGACTAAAACTCAATGAGTTTTCCAATCTATAACCTAACTAGTTTTTTCTCAAAATAATATTATAATTCATAACATTTAATTAAAAAACGTAATTAATAATTAATAATTAATTTTACAGACAAATATACCCTTTTGTTTATACCTATAAAACTCTAATCTCCTACTCATTTTCTACAACCCTAGCTACACCCTCCCTGTGCAGCCGCCCAGTCGTCCAGCCACCCCACCGTCCAGTCGCCGCCGCCGCCTTCCACAGAAATAAAATTATTGAATTTAAAAAAATAAAAAATAAAAACAAAAAAAAAAATTCCTCAAGTGAATGAGAAGAGAATTAATTTTGGTGGAAGTGCAATGATTATTACCGGATGTGTAGTAAAGTCATGCATTAATTTTGTGCAGTAACGACAATACAAAGTGCAGTAATTTTAAGTACATGGATGGAATTAGTGCAAAATGCACATATTTTAAATGAGGGCATTTTTGTCATTCAACCTTTAAATATAAATATTTTTTTTTATTTTCGATCACACAAAAGTCTAAAAACTAGTTAGGTCATAGACTGGGAAACTCATTAAATTTTAGTCATATCATTGATTAGGGTAAGATTTGTATAATATTGTGAGACCATAAGTCTACCTAATATTGTCGAGTTTTTTACTTTTGAGTGAAACAGATTTCACTTTTGATCCCACTAGTATCACACCAGTTTCACAATTGGTACATGCTTTTAACTACTTTTAGTACACGATTATTACGTTTTTGTCTACTTCCGTCAATGATTCTGGTGGTTAAAAACATCGAAGAAGGACCACAAATGGTCAAGAAACATTAATCAAGTACCTTAAGTAAACAAAGTGAAAACCGTGAATTAAAATGGATTTATTCAATAAATTAATTGTATACCTAATTGTTTCGGACTCTCGCCTCTACGTAGCTCACTCAACGTTACCATTTTTGTTATAGTCAAAATAGTTCAATTTGATGACGCCCTTAATTTTACAGCCAATCCCATAATATTGTATAATTTTTGTTTCAAATTGATAAAAAAAGGATGACACCCATCCCTGAGAGCCTCCCAACACCGACCAGACAGTTAATTGAGAAGATGTGAATTGACTAGAATCACAAGCTAGTAGATAGCATGTGAGGCTCTGATCAGGTGCTTGCATGTTTCGAATGAATAAAGTCATCATCAGTAAGTCTAATAAAAAGTTCTTACATTAATTATGGGACTAATTACACCTAAGGCTACCTAATAAGTGCTAATCGAGTGAGTTGAGCTCAAGTTCGGCTTAGATCAGGTCGGACGTGATAAATAGAGACCGAACCCGAGTCGAGATTCAAGTGAGTCCAAAAAAATTATGTTTGATTTGAGTTCGAGTTGTATTTGAGTTTTATTTGTTCTAAACGATATATTTTAAAACAAAGAATTTGCTTTGTTATACATTTAAACATATATGCATTCATCAATATTTCTAATCATAAAACAGTGTACTGAAATTCTCTGCTTAATTGGCTTTTAGATATTAACACTCTACTTGCCGTCTATGAGTGATTTAAATCTAAGATCACTTTAGTTCAATTAGTGCTACTTAAATCTGCTAGTGTCTTGCTTGAGAATGCATATAACTCGCATAACACTTTTAGAGCATTGTCTAAACTTTAAGCAATATGTGCATCTGTAGTATATTATTAGTGATAAATGAGTACTCCTTTCGTCCCTTAAAACTTTGCAATCTTTCCTTTTTGGGACGTCCCAAAAAACTTTGTCACTTTCCTTTTAATCAATTATTTTGTGGTTTCTGTTTTTTTTTCTCTCCTCTGCACAAATCTCAACCACATATTTTTTACTTTATTATTCTCCGTGCCAGTCAACTTTGACAAAGTTTTAAGGGACGTAGGTAGTATAATTTTGTGCATGAATCATACTATGAATATATGATGTAATCTCATATGAATGAATCTAAAATAATCAACACTAACTCATAATCGAGTACCTTGCGAGCTTTCCAAGTCGAATTTTTACGTAATATGAGCTTAACTTGGTTTGGTTCGAATTGAGTTCAAATACAAGCCGAGTTTGAAATGAGTCAAGGTAGGTTTGAGTAAGAACCCGAGATTGCCATATGATGCAAGCCTCGGAGTCCAATCTAAATTGATAACTCTAATCAAATAATGTAAATTAATTAAGGAATTTCTCGATCCAGAATTTGAAAGATTAGTTAATTATCAATCTAGAACCTGAAAGGTGAAAATGGTCCACACAGGGCCCTAGATGATTGAACACACTCAACTCAAGACTTAAAAATATAATTTTCAAGAATAGCAATGCACCTTGATCAATTTAATTAAATTGGTTTTTATTCATGCTCTAGAAATCTATGATTTATTTACATAACATTGAACATTTGAACCTTTATGAGGTCTCTAAACATTAAATATGAACCTTTATGAGGTCTCTAAACATTTAAAAAATGTGAGAGCTTTCAAGAAAATCTGAACAAAAGGACAACCAAATGCATGAACATGTTGACCAGTAATTGAAATTGACTTTATACTAGTGTTCTCTTATGCTCAAAGTATAACTACGAAGTAAGAACTCTTTTGGGCAGATTTTGAACGAGTAGAAATTTTTAGTGAGTACAAAAGTGAATGACTTAATTGACCCAAATGCCAAAGCATAATTAATTAGCTCATTTATGTATAAAATTTGTGAAAGATTAGTTCATTTGTATGTCACTTTTGTAGGCAGAGTAAAAGACACAATTTTGTTAGACTTTTGATTTATCCGTTGAGATTGTTCTGAATCATCATTGATATCAAATTTTGCTCAAACTATATTTTTTGGTCTGACATGTTAATTTGTGTTCAATGGAGATTAATTTATACCACACACTATTTTATGTTAATTAATCACACCCCAATTTGGTGTACACGTAGTTGTTTTTTAATCTCTTATATTTATGCAAGCCTCCCCTTTTAATGTTCTTTCTCTTTCATGTTTTTGGAGCAAACATGACACCGCTGAAGACAAATACATGACATGTTGCCCCTAATCTCTATAGAAATGCAACTATGGTATACATAAATTTTAATACATTGTGATATCTTCACGGTTTAGATTAACCTTTGATGGTCCCGGATAGGGTAAAAGTCTAGAGGGGGGGGGGGGGGGGTGAATAGACTTTTAAATCTTTTCGACCTTTACAAATATTTCCCTCTAGAAGAGTTGATCTATAATCTTTTGAGAGATTAATAGATGCACAGCGGAAGTCTTTACCCTTTATATAATGAATGTTTTAATCACTTTCTGATCTGGAGAAGATTGGACTTAGATGAATAGCAGTTGGCTTGGCAGTTGGCTTGGCAGTTAGCTAGGAAGCAGGGAACTGCTGAGGCAACTGCTCAGATTTTGATCTGGCTTTCAGGAATTGAACGTACTTTTTGACAATGATATTTATGGCAGGCTGATGAAACTGAGATGGTCACAGGAAG